TAATGTACGAGATGCACTGGAATGAACTCCCCATGGTGGGGTACGTCGTCATGAAGTTCTCGGACTTTAGGAAGGCGGTTCAGCTCCAAAGGGTGAGGCGAAACGGAAAGGCCATGATCGAGATATTGATCACGAGGCCCGATGTGTACGAGACCATTGGGGATGGAAGGCAGGATGAGGGCCTGATCCCACTTGGCGCCGAATGCCGAGGTATCGCCTTCGTGGTACGTCAGGGACAGGCTGCGGAACTACTCGGGGAGGTACGTGGTGGTAATGGTGGACCTTCGGGTGCACTGGTCTTTGGTTGGACCCGTGTTTTTGACGAGAAGGAAGACTCTTGCCGTTCGGAACGAGATCCACATGGGAGCTTGGAAGGCAGCATACATGTACGATGATTACACGATAGTGTACCATCGGGCATGGGACTATGGTGACTTCACCCCCGTTAGGGGAGAGCACAGGCGATCGCGTGAAGAGGTCAGGTTGAATGTGACCACCACGTTCTGTTTGAGGTGCGCGGAGATGACGCCAAATGGGATGCATTTGTGCCCTGGGTGTGCGCTTCCGGTCTTCTACCCGAACTTTATCCCCAACGCGGACGAAAGTGACTTCGAGAGGTGCCGCATCGTCCCGGAGTGGGTGAGGACCATGGGACAGTTCAAGCCCAAGAGGATCCCCTCCGAAGTGGTCGGAGTCATCAAGAGGAACTTGATTTCCTATTCGATGGCGTCTGACCTGAGGATGACGGTGCAGAGCGGCATCAGACTGCCCCCTTATCTTGGTGAGGACAAGGGAGGAGTCGATACGGCGTGGGATGAGCTGGCGAAGGTGCTCTTCCAATTCTCCTATGTGTCGGGGATTTCGGCCTCGGATGCGTTCGTGGAGAAGTGGGTGGCGAAGCACCTGATTATGACCAATCAAGTCGATAGATTTGATTCGGTCACTGAGTACTTCCGAGCTAACCCGAGGCACGCTGCTCAGTGGGGTAGGCGTATGACGACTTCCGTTAGGAAGTTCGCTCGCCATGATACGTACTTATCCTTCTACATCCCGATGGCGTAGGTGATTGGCTCCGCGGCGGGGCATCTGACTCCATTGTATCCGACCCATCGGAAGGACGTGGACATCCTGGCCAGTCATGCGTTGATATCGCAACTCAGGGGGTACATGGTGTCGGAGACAGGGTACGATGAGAAGAAGAGATTGAAGGAGGCGATAGCTAAGGTGCAGAAGGCAATCCGGCCCCTTCCGCGACCCATTCGTCTACGTTAGCGACGAAAGGGTAAGGACGGTTCTTGATGGTCGTCAACCGGAGCCATTGGACGTGAACATCGAAGGGCTTCAATCGGTGCATCATGCTGCGCAGGGTCCTGGTCCTAAGCAGGAGCCGATCGTCAAGGGCGGAAAAGGAAAAGGGAAGAAGGGGGAAAAGGGCGGTAAGGGCGGTAGCCCTTCAGGGCGTTAGTCCATCTGTCCCACAGGCAAAAGCGAAGGCTGATGCTGGGCCGGCACCGATGGAGGTTGATGCAACTGTGGCTCAACCGAAGAAGACTTGGGTCGCGATGGTGGTTGAAGGAGCCAGGCCGAGCGCGAAGGCTAAAATGACCCCGGTTCCAAAGGCCGAGCCAAAAGGGAAGGCCGCTTCAGTGTCTGAGGCGAAGAATGCTCCGGCTCCGAAGGCTGAGGCTAAGGAGACGAAGCAGGCCGAACCGAGGGTTGAGGTCAAGAAGGAGAAGGTAGGCGGAGACGACGCTCCTGGCGGTAGTCGGGGGTCGGCTGCAGGGCAGAAGAGAGAAAGGAAGTCCCGTTGGGATCCCGATGAGACTGTGAAGGAGTCGACAAAGCGGGAGGCATCAACAAGGCCTGATGACGTCGACTGCAGGCCAGGTGCGGCAGCGAGAGAAGCTAGTGGGGATGATCTTCACTCCGCGCTTGGCAGATCTTCGGCAAAGGACGCGGTAGCGCCTTTGACGGCATCCAAGGCGATGGCAAAGAAGCCTGAAGGCGGTGAGATCAGGTTGCAGTCGGCTGAGCGAGCTGCGGCGAGCCCGGTGGAGGGTCACTTCCTGGTGCTGCCTGAGAGTTCGGTGGTGGACGCTCTCTTGTCGGTCTCCACCAACAGAGTGCTGAACAAGCAAGTCAGGGATTTCATTAGAAATGGTGAGGACGCGTCAGCACTGGAGGCTCTCAACCAGATCGTGACGAACTCTCGCTCTGGGAGGAGGCGTAGGGAATCGGATGTTTCTCGCACTCCTTCTCGGAGGTCCGTTAGGACCGTGGACACCAGGGATTCCAGAGGGTCGAGAAGGCGCAGATACCGTCCGCGGCGCGAGGATGATCGCGACCGGAGGAGGGACGATGCTCGTGATCGTCGTGATGATGATTCACTCGATCGGGAGCGAGATCGAAGGCGAGATGATCGCAGGAGATCCGAAAGGGATCGTGATAGGGACCGCGCGCGGGGCGGACGTGACCGGAGGAGACGTGACGATAGCCGATAGGCTGAGTCACGAGGATTGCGGCCGATAGGCGTGCGTCCATTCTCCAATGGTCGGCGCGGCGCGGAGGTGGTGATGTTCCTCCCGGACCGCTGAGGCGCGGAGGTCATGTCTCTCCCGTACCGCTGCTGGGCTGCTGGTCGTGTTCGTCAGGAAGCAGTGTGAGTGAGAGGGAAAGCAAACTGATGGGGGGTTACTCCCGGGTTTGCGGAATTCAAGCATTTTTCAGGTACGCATGGTCAGGAGTACCTCTTGCCGTTAGGCGAGGGTGCTAAATGGACATACGTTATCTTCTTTTTCATGGCTTCTGATAAGAATTAAACTTCTTGCATTGTTGATGCAAACAGTTGTGACCTAGTGTCGTCATGTGGACTTTTCCACAAGGTATGTTGGACAGCGTTACCCCGATTAATTCGGGGTGGTGGCGGGAATTTAATGCCCGGGATGTCGCGCAACTGCCTTTGTGGGTTTGCTCCACCGCTGACGGCGGTAGTGTCCAGCTGTTTGCGGACACATGCGAGCAGTTAAATCCTATCAGTAAATGGCACGCTCCGCCCGTCAAATGACGGACTCCTCGTGAGGGGGGTGTGATTAGCCATGGTTAACTTCATCATCAGGGACGTCGCGGTAGTGACCGACCTGTGATGTTTGGCTCAAGTTTGCGGGTCCGTCGCGCCTCGGATGAGCGTCGCCGGGTCCCCGCGTCGATCACCTTCGTGTCGGTGGAGAAAGAGACATCGGCCCGGGGCAGATTGGTGGGGTCCGCCCGTGCGGTTCATCGTCGATCAAGGTTGCGGGTACTTGTTTACTTGTTTTGGTTTTTCCCTTTTGGTTGTTGTTCTCTGGTGTGTGGGAAACCCTGATCTTTGGGACCGGGGATTGGCTTGCTTTTGGGGAACCTTTCTTTTGTGGCTTGTTTACCCCAACTTACCCATTGCCTGGGCACAGGCTCGTGCCCGAATCACAAATAGCTTTGCCTTGCTCGGTGGCAGATGTTTTTTCCACTTGAGCCACCAAAAGTTAAAAACTTTTAGCGTGGGATCTGAGCCCAGAGATGCAGACCTCCGGTACCCGTTGGGCTCCTGAGGCTGTTCCGCCAGAAATCCGCTTGCAACGACGATGGTGTTGCACTCTCGGAACACGATGGCTGGTCGATTTAGTCAAATTCATGGCTAGATTTTGTGTGGCAGGCGCGGCGCAAACTATTTTTTTTACAAAGGCCTGCAAGTGTCAAAAAATTGACCGCGCCAGTTGCTTGAAGGATTCTCTTGGGCGTGTAAACATTTGTTGCGGAGATTTAAGGGGGCGACCTTCCCGCGGACGCCGGAGCTCTGCGAATAGTTTCCACTATATACACCCAAAGTGTGCTGCCCATGTTCTAGCCATTGTTGTAAAGGCTACTAGTACCTGCCCTTGGCGGATGTTTGACAACCAAATTGTTGGTGTTTCCTCCTTGGGGTCGTTATGCATTTTGAACACGTTGTGTTTGTTTTTGTTGTTTTGCATTTTCCCGCTCCATGCGAAAGCAAGTTTGCTCGATAGAGGGGGATAGATGGGGCCTCGCCTGGGGCTTTTCACGGTCACCTCCAAGGGGAAATAACGTTTGCCTCATCCTCAAGGGCAAACGATGTTTAGATTGGAAGGGAGCTCTTAGCTGTCTTCTTGACTGGTATTGGGTTGGATCTTTAGACTTCAACTTTTTGGGAAATAAAGGTGTTCTCCACTAAAGCCCCAAGCTCAAACTCTTCTGGTCAGTAACGCTGCCAGGCGCTTCCCTTTTCAACTTGTTGCTTTGGCTTTCCTTCAGTTGCACTTTCAAGCAACTAGTAACATGTTTGTTGAATGGCTCAGTTTGGCCCAGTGAACTCAGGCACTTCTGGTTTCTGTGGGACAATTGTAAGGAGCAGGGAGAAACTGTCAAAATATGGCGGATTTCAGCCAAACCTTGTCGCTGCTATTCAATCACTTCCTCCTATTTATAAACAGACCCCAAGGATCATATTCCTCTCGCCCACGCCACGACATGCCAATACTAGTGTTCAACTACCCAATACAGAAACCAGATGAGCCACAGAGAAGCCATGACAAGAGGACATGAATCGAAACCAGTGGCAGCCGGGTGCTTCCCCGCCATGTTCCTTGGGTTCTTAGATCTTAGTTGGTTTAGTGGCGGGGCTTCCATTTCACCCAGTTCTTAACTTTCTAGGGCTTGATTCCTTGTCCATTCATTTCAGCAATCGTTCTTTTCAAGAACCAGCCATTTCCCCAGGGTTTTTGCTGGTTTTCTAGAAAGATCCGGATCCCTGGAACGAATGGAAATGGAAGGTACCCCTAGAAATTAGATTAAGGTTGACCCATATTAATCAAGCCCTGTTTATGTATATGAGGGTGCCTCTCCCTGGTTTTGGGGAATCAGACCACTTTAGAGGTTAGGTTCTAGAAACTTTCAGCTCAACGGACAGCCCGGATAGGAAACGGACCGGTCGCTCGCTCATTGCTGAGGCGGGCGCCAAGCTCCGACCAGTGCGCCGGGGTCCGTTGTGTGAGAAAGCCGCCCACAACTCGCTTGGCAAAACCCCAAAAAGTGAAATGTAACAGAACCAAGAAATTGGCTTGAACCTGATTTTGGGGATGTGTGTGTGTGTGTGTTTTCTTTGTGAGAAAGGTGAATCAAGGAAGCCCTGTGAGGAGCTTCAAGTTTTTCCTGCACACAACAGTGAATATTTGTTGCTGGTCTACGGCAAAGAAAATGCCGTTGGGACACTCAACAAGTTGTTATTAGCAAGTGGGTTGCTTACCAAATTCCTGCGTCACTAGGGGACATCTCATGGCACTCTTTGGGAAGGGCCAAAGGGGAGCTTCTTCTAGGGGTGATGTGAGGTGCTTTCAACAAATCCAGTCGGTTGTTCGATGGGAGGGCCATTGGGGGACCAGCTCTAAATCTCCCACAACAAACTGAATTACCGATGCGCCATGGTCAAAACTCATCAGCCATTGTCATGGCATTGTTGTTAAGATTGTTTACAATGCTTGTTTCCATTCCCACGTTCAGGGATTTATGCCCAGTAGCTGCACAGAACGAAATAGTTTGCCAACATGCTAAGGGTGTCTAAGTAAGAGCGTCGCCGAAGACCCGCGCAATTTTTATGCCAAAGCCGGCATTCTGGTCACTTGACCGTTCGTGGCCTGAGGTGAATCTTTATGACTCCAGGTGTCCCAGTTGCTCAGTGGATTCCAAAGCTCAAGATGGATTCGGCGAGAAGAAACGGGTGTTTCTCAGACAAAAATGGACCAATCAGGTGGTTTCATTTTAACTTCCCCTTACAACCGTCCAAGGGAACCCCGATCTTGCAAACACATACCCCGAACTGGTTACCTTTTTTCTTCCAGGGTCAATGGTTGTAGCTGGGGAAGGCCCCAGAAATTGCGGATGTCCAGGTTCTTTGAGGGCCCTGACTCCTATTGGCTGTTTTAGCCTGGTTTGATTGGGCTGAGGTGCGTATTGGTCTGATGTTTTCGGGGGCATCCCATTTTTGGCGGTGAAAAGGGAAACCAACTGAAAACCCCCCAAATGGTCCGCTACAAACAACAAACCCATTAAACCTTTATGAAAGTAGAACCATGCTCATTGGGTTTTTGGCGCTGCAAAGCCGTGACAGGTTTCCGTGACTTCGCATGACAACATCAGGTTTCCAGGTCTTCCAGAAAGGTTCAAGATGGATCAGAAGCGCTTCAGGTTCCTTTGGGATGGGTTGAGCCACGGATTTTGCCTGGGACGGAGGCGCTGAGGCGCCATAGGTTTTGTTTAATCCGTGCCAGGCCGCAAGGGCGACTTTGCAGCAGTTCAGGGGGGATTCGGTGGGAGAAGACCCGGTGGATTCCAGGCGGTTTCCGTTTCGCCATTTTAGTGGATGACACTTTCTGGGGGGGTTATTCTAGTATTACATGAGACCCAACTAAAGGCCCCATTTTATTTTTGCTTCTCATCGCGTTTGACATGAAACCAGCCAGGTCCCTTTGACATTCTGCGTGGAAGACTAAGCTTCGCGAAGGATTCTGAAGTCATCAGGGTGACGTATCTCAGGGTTCCAAGGTCCCCTGTCCTGCAAATAGGATCTAACGGCTGGGAGCCTGGTCTCCAAAGTGCCTGGTGTCCCACTGGTTTCCTTTGAAATGACCCCCCCCTCTCAGAGTGCCCTGACCCAATATGTCATAATATGCGTAGCTCGGGCGGAATCTCAAGGCCCCAAAACACAAAGATGTGACAGACGCAGGTTTTTCTGCGCAGATATTGTGGTTTTTCTTCGCTTGTCGTCTGAAATGTCACAGAGCCTAAAGACACTGTTTTCCAATGACCAAAGAGTTGTGCCATGAGGGGCCTGGTGACCTGGTGGTTTGAACCGGCGTTAATCAGAAAGTTCAGTCCCGGCCTTAATCAGAAAGTTCAGTCACGGACGCCTTGCCCCGGAAAAGGCTTGGCAAAAGCTAAGGCGATTTGGCTGCGTTTGGCACCTGTTGCGTGCTGGTCAGCAAATGGCGCATCTTTAAGCCTTGGGAGTGCAACCGTGGAGTTTCCGGGCCCCAAGCGCTTGGTGAGAAAATTTGAGGCGAGACCGATCTCTTCGAGCCGCTGATGTCAGACGACTTGAAGCTGAGGCTGTGTAGTGATGCGGATGCCGGCGGTGTTGCTGTGTTGGGTCTTGTCTGAATGGAAACAAGCAAACATGGGTTGGCCCATTCCACTCAGGAAGTACAAATCAATGCATTGTATATATATATATATATATACATCGATATAATATAATATACATATTATATATATACATAATATACACACATATACATACACATTTGTGTGTGTGATATGTGTGTGTGGGTCTCCCTAGAATTAGGGCCCCTCGCATGAATGATGTCCATTGTGTCGACTGCCAGAAACCAAAGCAGGTTCCACTGACTGTGGCTGTTATTTTTGGGATTTCTGCTTGTAGCAGACGCCTGTTAACTTGGGTTTTCCGGTTTGGCCCCCAGTTTTGGCAAGCGAGGGATCCCTTCACTTATTATCTTGGGAGTCCACTTACGTATCTTCAACCAAAAGGAGGCAAAGGGCAAACCCGGTAAAGTCTGTGCTCACAGGACCAGCAAACCAGGAGTTGGGCATGGGTCAGCACCGGGAATTGGCCCGCAGGTGTTTGTCCTTTCCATTTAAGCGGGCTTGCCCCATTTCCGGGTTGCCCTATTTTTGACCACACCCAGTTCCCCAGGCAGATTAACACGCCGCAAAACCCAACGAGAAGGCCGATTTGTTTTGCACGGATCGAGGGGTACCTCTGCAAGCAAATCAACCTGAGAACCTTGTGCGTTATATTTTTGTATACCCCGCTACAGCACAAACAAAAAGATCCTCCCCCCCACAGGCGATTCCTCTACAAGTTCACGGCTTTTGGGATTTCATGTTCTTCTGAAGGGGAGTCATTCCTTGACTTGTCTAGTTTGTTTGGACTCGTTCAGGACATTCCATCAGTTTCATCAAGCCTCTCTTTCCTCCTCGAGGCTTGGGGCCCTCGACGGGTTCCACGTCTCACTCGCGACGTGTTACTTCTGAAGGAAAGTGGCAGGCTTTGTGAGATGTTCATTTGAGCCTCAATCAAGACCCGGGTAGAAGTTTGGTAAGGGACAATCCCGGCCATAGATCGGCGCGGCCGCCTTTTCAATTCCTTACATGGTCCTGGGTTCACCATTTTTGTACCAGGTTCTGATTATGACTCATTTGCGAGGAAACCCTTTCGAGCGAGCCAGCACTCAAGCGAGGAATGTGTATTTCCGGGCAAAGCCTTTCTTGTGTTTTCGCTGGCGCCAGGCTGAAATGCTTGATGGACCAAGTAAAGGAGACGCTGCCGCCTGGCCGAATTCATGGCACAGCACTCAGCTGAAGGAAGCCGAAAGCTGAGGCAGGCTTAGGCCAAGCCCTGGTTTAAACCGCTGAACATCGATGTTTGCTTATGTGGCTATGGATTGTTATAGGGAACCCGCTCCAAAGTGGTTGGTGGACATGGATCCCCGCCTAAATGATGTCCACCAAAGGTTCCCTAATTAAAATTCAGACCCATGTGGGTGTGGCTCAAGACTTAAGAGCTTGGGCAAGCCGCAGACTCCATTTTATCAAGGTGCCATTTTGGTACGTGTTTTGGAGGCACGGCCATCTTAATTGGCAACTCTTTCCACCCCAACCGCTGCGCATATTGGACAGCACGGGGATTTTAGACATGGACTTGAGAAAAAGCAAGTCGGACAGTCGCAAGGGGATTGGGGCATGTGTAACGCCAGGCACTCCACAGCCACGCCCAACTTGGTGGATTACCGGAACGAGACGATGGACCACCGCGGGGGGAAATGGGAAATGGGGGAAATGGGGGAGGGTACCAGACGGAGGGTCTATTTTGAAAACCTCCCTCTTTAGTTTATTCCTGGATCGCCATCCACTTTACCCCAACACCAGCAACAGTGACTGAAAGAAGCGATCGCAACTTGGCTAGCTAGGTTGGTTTTTTAGGGTCTTGGTTGCAAAGACTCCAGGTGTCCATGGCGAACACGGGGGGGGGGCTTATGGCGGCGTCCGCCACACCCAAGACTGCTAAACTCAGTTTTGGCGAGCAACAAGTTCGGACTTCCAATACACTCGGCAAGTAAGACGCTGCGACAAACAATTGCAGGGTGAAAGTATGTGGGTGTGTTTGAGTGTATTTTTTTTTGTCTTTTAGTGTAGCCTTTTTGGACGGTTTCATTTCAAGGGAAACCAAAAGGAGGACACGAACCATTTTGGTGGGGTTCCCCTATTTTAAGACACACCCATATCAAACTTTCTTTATTTCGGCAGGTAAAGGCCCTGACTAGGTCCAAACGGGAGCATTGTGCCAAGTGTCACGATGCATTATTCTTTGTCGAGCATGCTTTAACTTGGCGTTACATTCCAAGAAAACCGTCCGAGATGGATTCTTTTGGCTCGCGTATCTTTACATGTAGCTCGCCCAGGCCATCTATTCCTTTTTCCAATGAAAGTGGAGAGAGCGGCTTTAAACGACAGCTGTCCACATCCAACCGACTGGGTCTCGGTGCAGAAAGCGCATCCACGTCACAGAACCTGAGGCTCTTAAGAGGGTTGGAGCCTAGGGCTTTGCTGTCACCCACACTCGATCTCAGCCCCTTGTTGAAACATCGGCCCTAGGTACCAGGGGTACCAGTAACCCATTAGTTCGCAACGCAAACCAAAAGGAGCTGGCTCATTCCCTCATGCATTTTCGGTTTGACGCCCATATGGGAATGCTTTTACTGGGGGTCCCTTTGGTGGACATCATTTAGGTGGGAATTTGCGTCCACCAACCACTTTTTCCTTGTTGGAGTTCACAACCAAATCTTCAAATTTGTTGGCTGATAATCAATGGTTTCCCGGTAATTAGTAGAAAGTGAGTGGCTTTTTGTCGAGGTTCAGGACCAACCTGCTTTTGCCTGTTGTTAGGAGTTATGTTCCCTGTCATGCCCAGATTTCCTCCGAAATACCTGATGTGGCCAATGCTTGGCCCACATGTGGGGTGCACGGAAAACAACTGCAGATCTGTGGCTGTTTGAGTTTGTTCCAGAAGTTCAAGTTCATGATTCCTCTACAACGCCTGTTGTGCATCGTTTGGCGTCCAAGTCTCGCCTCTCTGTCGCTTTGATGGTTCGACCGTTGACATCATCACTCATCTTTGCCCTGTGCAACATTGATGGTCCCAACAGGTGTTTATGTGTTTGTTTGTTTGTCTCTGTTTGTGTTTGCGTTTGCGTCGGTGTTTTTTGTCCCGTCTGTCTCTGTCTCGTTTGTCTGTTTTGTCTCTGGGTTTGTGTGCCTATGTGTCTCTGTGGGGTGCGGGGGGAGGGGAGTCGCACGAAGTGCGCGTGCGTGTGGAGAGGACTACCGGCCCGGCGAGTACGCGCAGCACGACCAGGGCTACGACCAGGGCTACGACCAGGGCTATGAGCAGCAGGGCCCGGAGCAGGGCTATGAGAACATGGACCAGGACCAGGGCTACATTCAGTACGAGCAAGGCTTTGACAATGCCCCCAGACAAAAGATGAAGCATGGGTATTGAGTGGCTGGTTTGCCGTCGTGTTCAAGTTGTTGCTTGTTTGTTTTCCTTCATGTTCATTCATTTTCAGGTATTGACTATCCGAGCCAAGGCTGGCTATGCGCAGCCATGTGAGCAGCCCATGGCGAACGGCATGGACTATGCACCGTACGAGCCTGTGAATTATGTCCAGTACTCGCAGCCGCAGCCGCAGCCGCAGCAATACTCGCAGCCGCAGCAATACTCGCAGCCGCAGCAATACTCGCAGCCGCAGCACACCCCAGGCCAGCGGGGCGAACTAGTCGTCAAAGAGGAACCCCCAGAATCAGAATTGCTGCCTTTTTTTGCCTCGCCCACAAAGGGCACCCTTCAAAACAGACTCGCCCAACTAGATGTCCCTTTTTGAAAGCTGGAATAGCTGGACTCAAATTCAATCCTTGGATGATGTGGTTCCCATGTTCTTGCGAACAGGACATCTGGGATCCTCCCCCATTTTGAACAACTCAAAAGGTCAAACGTCGCGGTGCCTGAGGGTTCGAAAAGTGAATGCATTTCGATGAGGACCCTTTTGTGATGCCGTGAGAGGGGAAGTTCAGGGGAAAGATGGTTGCCAAGTTTGGAAGAATTCCTTGAAGGATTTGACAGCAACTTTCTGGGTACATCACAGTAAACATTCTGAAGCTCAGAAGCTCATACTAACATGGAACCCAATAAACCATCATGTTAAGAGGAATCTCCTTTTGGCACCCCCTTGTTGGGTTCCATGTTATGTTTTGCTCAGGAAGTACCCAAACAAAGCCCTTGATTTTGCTAACGCTTCCTCCTGTTTGCAAGATCCACTTGGGGACCTCCCAAAAAAAGTAGGTTACCTTTAAGGTTGGTTGCATGAAAAGGGAAACCATGTTTTGTTGGGAAACCCTATTTTGACACACACACACACAAACCATTCCATTTTAACACCCATTTGCAGGCGATGGTATGGAGTAACGCAATGACACTTTGAACGTTTCAAATTTTCCCAGGTACCACCGGGTCCGCTCAAGGTGTGTCTACCTCAAACACTCGGTGACACCCAGCTGCAGGGTTCCGTTTTTTGACAACCCCAAAGTGAACTTAAACCCAGTGGTTGATTTCCCCACAAGGGAAATTTCTGGGTTGATTTTCCCAAAAGGGGGTTGCCTGGGTTTAAGTCTACCTTGGGGTAGTCCAAAAATGGCCCCCTGCCCAGCATCCCGCACTCCAACTCCAGGCTACTGCCACGGCAGCGTGGCGCTGCCTCTCTCGCGGGAGCCCGACCGCTTCAGCGAGCCGAACCACGCAGCATCGGAGTACGGCGCCTCCGATGGCACGTTGCAGCTTCACACGACCGAATTCACCCCAAATGAGTCATAATCAAAACCTGGTACTAAAATGGTCCACCCAGAACCATGTAAAGAATTAAGAAGGCGGCCGCAGCTATTTATGGCTGGGACTGCCCTTATTAACCTTCATCTACCCAGGTTTTGATTGTGGCCCAAATTGGTGGTTGATGTGGAGAATGGCCCCCCAACCACCGCAAGTTTCAGGTTGGTGAAATATTATTCACCCAGATGGTATATGTTTTGGAAACAAACCGGCGGTTTTAAAGGGAATCTATCGCTACTCGTCTGTTCAGTTGTTTTTTTTTCCGGGGGGCGAAAACGCAAATGGAAGCCAGCCTTAGGGAAGTCGCTGCCCTGGCTCTTTCGTTTTGAGCCACACCCAAATCCCAGATGTGAACTTCGGAATGCGGACGCTAGTCTCCGGAACCCTTAAGATAGATCATTTCCGTATCAAAAGGTACTGTATTGGGTGGTTACCCACCCGCCCGTCTTTCTCAAGGTTTCCATCCTGCGGCACGCTACTCCGCTATCCTCAGCCCTGTGCACACGCCTGCCAAATGATAAGCACATATAAGCACATCCTATCAGTAGCACGCTCGCACATGCTTGCCAAATTCCAAGCGCGCCCGCTCAAGAGCACATACACGCTCAGCACTGCACAAGTGCGTGCCAACTGACCAGCACATCCGCTCGAGCGGAAACACCCGGCACTTCACACACGCATGCCAGATGACAGGCACACCAGCCTGCTCCAGAGCAGGCCACTGGCGTATTTCCAGGACATAGCCTGGCTCCTACATGCCTGTACACCATGTCCGGGACGTTGGCAAGCTAGGCACAATCTGAGAGCCATGGCCGCCGATGTTTAGCTGCAACTGTTTCAAGTCATGCTTCGTTTGTTGGTTGGTCCAAGCCTCTGGGAGATCCATTGTGCCAGCAAAGTCAAAACTCCTTGGAATACGCTGTCCACAAGCTGCGAGCGTATCCAAAATGACAAAATGGGTTGCGGGCCATCCGATGCGTACAAGGGGAACCACCCCGGATTAGTACGGTCTCCGGATTGATCCGAAGTTAACATAAGATTAATGGTAGTAGGGACAGTCCCAGGCAGATTAGATGCGGCCAGTTTAATGCCAGGTGTTGATTGTGACTCATACGAACCCATACTGTGGAAAGACAAGCATATTGCACCAGTTGGCAGGTGGTTTTGGCGAGTACTCTGAGGGCTTAATGCGGATTTTGTCCATCCACTGTATGAACCTAATGAATCTTTGAGACAAACCCCAGCAAGGAAATTGATCTTGGAGTTTCAGGCTGAAATTCTTTCAGCCCAGGGCTAAATCTATGAACCCAACAGAGGAATCCCGCAGTAGACAACGCCAAAGAAGGGCAGCTGTGAGGGCATTGGTTGCGGCTCAAAACGAAGTTGGAATCCTGAAAAGGGAGCTGTCTCCAGTTTTTGCATCTGTGTGGGAGAGTCTGTTTTTTAGAGGAAACCAACTTGTTTTTCGATTACAGCTTCTGGCACTGCCATGCACTTCTGGTCCGAGATGGTTTGAGGATCCACTGATTTGACCAGTCCATGGATAGTGCATCTCGGCGTTTTGGCATGCGCTCGAAGGGTGCAAAAGGGTCACCATGACGCGTGTATTCCACAGCTTGCGGCGTTTTCCCGTTTCTGGCCACTGCCTGCCTGCATGCATCATTTTGGCATGCAAGGTGGATGCTCGTCTCAAACTTGGATTTGTACCAATCAATCATACTGTGGATGGACACAAATTCTCTACCACCTAAGAAACCCTGGAACAGCCACTGGTTTCAACCACGGTTTCAAAGTGACGCAAACGGGTTTTGTCCATTTGTCAACTGCCACTGGTTTCTCAACCATGGGTTTCCACGCAAACCGGTGCTGAAATTTGGCCATGGGTGACATCCCAATCCCCACAAAAATAGACTCAAATGGGTGGTGAATTCACCTACCAACCAAAATGGGATCCCAAAACGGTTTTGACAACCACCGCCATTTCCGGAGGTCGATGTCGTCCATCAGATGGGCAGGCCGAGGTTTCTCAACCATGGGTTTCCACGAAAGCCGGTGCCAAAAAAGTTATGAAGGTCGATGTCGTCCATCAGATGGGCAGACCGAGGCATGTACCAGCCGGGGTCCATGCAGGCGCCGGTGCCGGACTACTTCATGGGCAGCCTGGACGGCGAGAACGGCGGCTTCGAGGGCGTCGGCGGCTACGAAGGCGGGCGACGTTTTTCCACCGCCCCATGGCCATGCCTATGTCGGGTGGACGAGTGGAAGGTAAAGGAACAAAGCACAACTAGGTCGTGCCCTTTTAACGTTTCTTTTTTTGTGGGGAGATTCGGTTCCCCTACTAAAATTGACTACTGGAAAAAGGGTACCCTCTCTACTGGAGGAGCTAGATAACTTTCATTTGCTGAAACGAACATTTGTTATTTCCCTCCTTTAGTTTTAAAGGGAATCTATCACTACCGTTACTTGAAGTATTTCAGTTTTTCCAGGGGGCTCAAGGCAAATGGAAGACAAGTAGGTGAGGATACCCGTGGTCTGTACCATGGGTGTTGGGTAGACCATGAACAAATACCTGGTTTTGATTGACTCAAATGAGGTTCGGGCAAGAGTCGTGGTAGTCTGTGCTCCATTTGGGAGGCACGAGAGGCGTTAACAGGGAATTTGGACAACACAAGGATTCCTAACTTAGGTCCCCCAGTAGTGCCCTTTTAACCCTTTTTTGGGGGAGGGCTCCCTTATTTAAAATAGACAAATCCGAAAAAAAATCGGGTACCCAATCATTCTAACCTGAAATCTGGAGGACCTAGCTAACACATTGCCATGGTACCCACATTCGGGGTTGTGTCCGTGGCACTTGTGGCCCCTTTCTGGGTGGTGGACATCAGTCCGCACAATGCTGATTACCCACCAAGATGTGTCTCAAAATGAAGGGGTTTTCGTTGGGGTTTCCCCTTAACCACCATTTTCTGTCAAGAAATGATGCCAGATTGCTCCCCCCC